TGACAGCCAAGGCTCATACAAGCCCTTCCTTTCCATTTCTCACCCTTACCCCTCCTAAAATCCTATGATCCCTTCTTCAGTGTGTCCTGAGAAAAAGGAGTGGGCAGGGACTGGATTCTTCTCAGCTGCTGTGCTTGGGAGACAAGGAGGAGTCTAGTGGAGGGAGCCAAGTTCCATGGGGCCTTCAGGAGATGTCAAAGAAGTTACAGAGGCAGTTGCTCCTCTGGAGAAGCAGAAGACTTTTGTTCTGACAGAAAGGTGTGCTGAATTTCAGTATGAACTTGGGTTATTTTATTATTCTATAACATAATGAAAATACCCTTGGTTACTTTGCTTAAAAATATTGCGGGACCAAGGTTTCTCCTGCCAGGAGCAGAGATCTGTCCCACAGCCAGGAAGCAGCAGGCACATTTTCTGGGAATAGATCATGAATAGTGGAGCAAGATATACTAAATGCTGAGCTCAGACATGAATGCCAGACCATCATTGCACTGCTGCATTAATGTTTGTAAATAAACAAGAGATCACAGGGGGAAACCCAACAGATACAAAAATTCTCCTGATGTCAGCTGCGTGCATGCAATTTCTCTGCTGTCTTCTTGTGTAGATGTTTTTTCCTAACAGCCAAGCAAATGTGCAAATCCCACCTCTGCTCAAAAGGGGTTGGTGGGAAAAAGCATTATTTCTGCATGAGAAAGGGAATAGTTGCAATAACTTTGCTGCTGCAAAGGAAATGGGATTGCTGTGGCTGTCCTGTGTGTAAGATAAGACAGTGGCTCTTGGCTGGCCTTAGTATGATCCTGAAGACAAATGCCACATGAGGGCAGCTTCTTTTGGCTCCTGCTGTTCAAATATGTTATGAAACTGAGTACTCCACCCTGCCTGAGGCCGTCTCCTTCCTGTACTGCTTGGAGCAGTGTTGAGGAGACAACTACAGGACCACAAAGTACTTATTGCATGACTTTGGATAAATCACTTAGTCCTTTTCCTTTCCTTCCTCTCTCCTTTCTTCCTCAAAAGTTTTAACAGCATTAATTAGAACAGTGCCAATGGGAAGTGGGAGGCTTCCTAACATCATCTTAACATAGGCCAAGTGCTGTTACTTTGATGTCTCAAAAGCACAAAAGAATAGCAGCCCAGAGTTTGAAAGTTTCACAAGATTAAGTAAACTTTCTGAAACACTTCTCTGAGAACTAGATAGAACAGCCTAATACTTGTGGAGTTTGCACTTCTCTGATGCAGCCTTGCCATAAGAACTAACCACTTGGAGCTGTGTCAGAGGAGAGTCAGGCTGGGGATTAGGAAAAGGATCTTTACCAAAGGATGGTCAGGCCCTAGAACAGGTTCCTCAGGGCAGTGGTCATGGCACTGGGCCTGCTGGAGTTCAATACGTGTTTGGACAGTGTCTCAAACATAGGGTTTGAATTTTAGGTAGTCCTGTGCAGAGCCAGGAATTAGATTCCATGATTCTTGTGGGTCCCTTTTGCCTTGGGATATTCTGTGATTCTATGACTCTATGTATGGCAGCAGTTAATCAGACAACATTTCTCCCTGTCTCCCCCTAAAGTTTCAAAGAAGTGAGAGTGAATAAAGAAGGGTGGCAGATGCTACATCCTGCCATGTCACAAATGAATAACTCTCCTTCATGCCACATGCCAAGACTGTGTTTCTGGGACATTATCTCCAAACAGGCACTGGAAGTAGAGAAAAAGATGCATTGGGCAAGGAAACACTTTTCTGAGAATCTGACTCTGTCTTGGTGTCCTGGTTGTGAAACAGAATTTCCTGATTTGCATGTGTGTATCATTCGATGTCTTTATGCTTTTCTGGTCAGGATTGCATTGTCTAATGGAAGTGGCCAGCAGAAAAAAATAGCATTTCATACTAATGTTAATCTACAGAAATTGTTGCCACAGGATTGAGTCAAACCTGAAATTACAGCAAAGTTCAAAGCAAGAATTAAAAGTATTTCTTAAAGATTCTGAAAGCATTTTAGATAGCTATATGACTCTCTTTTGATTTTAAATCAAGATTAAATTTCCTAGAGTAAACAGAAAACAGGGAAAGGAAGAACACGTTCTGCCATCATTAATCACTCCAGCCCTTTTCTGAAGCATTCAAGGCTACACACAATAAAATCTGCAATATTGTCAGACAGTCTAGGCACTGTACTGGAAATGTTGTGTGTTTATCTTCTCTTTTAGAAACAAAAATTAATAACCATCAGAGAATTTATCTTTCAAGGTTTTCTACCATGTCAGTGTTCTTTTTCTTAGTTCATATAAGAAGTTTACTTTACACAAGGAGAACTGTAAACTTTGCATTCGTAACTCTTACATCCAGATCTGAGGGGCTTCAGTTTCCCCACTGTTTTCAATCTCATATTAGAAATTGTCCATTGGCCAAGAAGGCCAATGCTACTCTGGGATGCATTAAAAAAGTGTGATCAGAAGGTTGAGGTCCTCCGCCTCTCCTCTGCACTGGTGAGGCCACATCTGGAGTTCTGTGTCCAGTTCTGGGCTCCTCTGTTCAAGACAGAACTAGTGGAGAAAATCCAGAGGGCCACAAGGAGAACTGGGACTGTTCAGTCCAGGGAAGAGAAGAATAATGGAGGATTTCATCAATGCTTATAAATATCTAAACTGCAGGAGTCAACAAAATGGGATCAGACTCATTTTGGTGGTGACAGAAAAAGGGACAGTGGTCACAAACTGAAACACAGGAAGTTCCATACAAACATGAAGAAAAACTTGTTGACTTTGAGGGTGACAGAAAACTGGAACAGGCTGCCCAGAGGGGTTCTGAAGTCTTCTTCTCTGGAGATAATGAAAACTCATGTGGAGTCTTTCCTCTGTAACCTATTGTAGGGAGCCTGCTTCAGCAGAGATTAGACTAGATGATCTCCAGATGTTCCTTCCAACCCCTATGATTCTGTGATTCAATGACATGCAGTGCAAATTATAAACTGACAAATACCCCAAAATTACATTTTAAAATGAAATAAAAATTATACTATCATCTGTAACTATTATTTATACATATTAACTGTGAAAAGTGGCTCTGAAAAACGTTTTATTAGACTTCAACAATCAAAATAATAATTCTAGCAGTCCATAAGACACAATTCCTGTGAAAGCAGACACCTAATAAATCCTGAGCAATTAACAGAACTTCTACTGTAAATAGTGCTCCTGGGAATGTTTATTAATCACTTGAGCTGATAGACTGCTCGAGACAGTTGTTCATATTGCAGGAGATCTGATTATGATCGATATTTAAGTTATATAAAGCATCAAGAATTTATTTAGGTCTTCCCAGGAAACAAATTTCTGGGCTGGTAATTGCAGAACAGTATTTCTGACTGCTAACACTCCTCTTGAGTGATCTGCTCCAATACTAATCCATGCAGATGCCTGCATTCTCTTTAAACACTGTATGTGGACTTCACCTCAACTTCATATTTTTAATTCTTCTTATAGTGAAAGCATGCATGGCAGTACTTTGAAAACTTATGTCTTCAGAAAACTGTTAAAGAAACCTCACAGACAAAAATAAAAAACAAAAATAAAAAACACAAAAGAAACAATTGCAAAGATTTATTTAGCGCATTCTGTGCTTGGCACTTAGAAACAGAGTTCCGTGCATAGGGCAAATCTTTATACACCTTTTTCTTCATACATATTTTACATACCATTTTTATTGCCCTCTTTTATATTCATAATATTGACTCCCCCACTAGGCATATAAATACATTTATCTACAACACCTCACAACAAATCTCAATAATATCTGTATTCTGTTACTTGGTATTTGCATTTTCACACAACTTAAATGCATAGCTTGCACCAAGCTACAATTGTTTTCTTATTTTTAAAGGATTTGAAGGAAAAAAAAAAAAAAAAAGAAGAAAAAAAAAAAAAGAAGAAAATAAAACATAAAAGAACGTTGGTTAAACAGAGATCCCATGGCAGGCAGGAGGTTGGAGAATACTCGACCTCATTGTTACTGAAATGCTATTGGTTTTCTATGGCAATTCTTACATGCAAGGTGAGGGAGGACAGTTGTACTGCTGCAGAGCAGAGCGCTCATTTCTCATTGTTCTTCCCCATGAGTTCAGTCTGGAGAGTTTCCTCCCATTGAGTTGAGTGCTACAAGACACATGTTCCCCACAGAGGCTTTTGTTCTTTTGGCTTGAGTACATCCCTTTAGGGAATGTCAATAAGAGCTGATCTCCTTCTCCCCCTGTGCATCTTTGCCAAGATGCTTGTGTGAAGCTTCCAACCCTGCTCGTGTCTGAGACTCACTTACGAGTTACAATTTTTCTCTCTCCTCTCTCTCATCTCTGTCTGCAGACTGAGTACTGGTAGGCTCGACCCTCAAAAAGAAAACACTGGTCGAGCAGAGCTGCAATGAAAGTACAGAAACCTCTTTAGGAAGAGAAGCTCCAACTCAGCAGTGTCATTGCTGTGCTACAGTAGAAGGAGCCATAGGTCACTGATGGCTTCAGAAACAGGCTGAGCTGCTTCAGCAGCCAGGGACAGTTCAGGAAGGGAAAGGCCTTTAAAGCTTTGGCCCATCATGGGCAGTACAGCTTCAGGACAAAGTCTTGGGAAACTGCCTTTCTTCAACACTCAGAGAAGACGGTGCAAGGAAATGGCTCTCTCAACACCGAGAGCTCACACTAGCTGAGAGTTAATGCATAAACTGTATATTTGGTTTCTTCACTCCAGCTTCTCATTAAAGTCCTGCCCTTCTCTTTGCAATGTCCAGAAGGAGCAGACACTCCACACCAGGTCCAGAGGCCCTGGATTTCAACAATGGCTGTCAATGAAGGTTTTCCACGAGATTTGGTGTTGCATACCTAGATGGTTTGTGTTCTAATTTATCATTACAATGCTAGTTTCTCTATAAGTTTGAAGGCCAAAAGATACTAGGATGGTTTTATCCATGGAAACAATGCAGGTCCAATTGCCTTCCATGCCGAGGAGAGGCACTGCTGGTTAGACCATGTGCACAGACATTTGTGAGGAAGAGCCCTGAACGGCACCATACTGTCTGTTGTCACAGGCATTGGCTGTCTGCTGGTTGCTGGAGGGAGGGCTGATCATGTGCATCCCATGATCCATCCCTGTGGAAAGGTATTGCCTCTCTCCAAAGGCCCCACTGGATGGGGAAGAGCAGAGTAAAGTGCTTTGGGAAGTGGTGAGTTTTTCCGGGCTTGCTGCCAGCCTTGGGGAAGCAGGGAAATTGTATCCATAGAGGTTGTAGGGATTGTGCAGGGAGAAGGCATTGTAGGAGCTCTGCTGCATGTGGCTGCCACCAAACATGTGTGAAGAAGAAGAACTGGATGCAGGATTGCCTGCTTGCATGACATACTGAAACTGGGAGCTGGGGAAGGACCCCAGCTGGCTGCTGTAGGCCTCCATCTTGCTGTTGTTGGGCAGAGAAGAAGGAGTTGGCATTCCTGAGATCAAAGATGGAGTCCTCTGAGGCATGAAGCTTTCGGAGGGCTGTGAGGCGGAAGCAGTGCCACTCTGCAGCCGGTTGTAGCCACTGTCGCCAAGCCCTGGGTAGCTCTGCAGGGCAGCCATGTTGCTTCTGGCACATGGAGGGTAGTCAGACAGGTTGAGGTTGCAAAGCTGACTCTCCCGGCAACCAACATTGAAAGTGTTGGGGGCCAGATGGAAGGCTGGAGGGGAGCAGGATGGAGAGAGAAGGTGAGAGGAAGCAGAGGGTGATGGAGTCCCTGTGCTGGAGGTTGTTGGGGAGGTGCCAGTGCTGCCTCCTGCAAAACAAAACACATGGGAAGATGTTCAGAGCCTGAAATCACATGTGCAAAACAAGACAGTCTCATTAAGAAACAGCTTAGTTTAATAAAAAAACAAGGGTGGTAAAATGGCCGCTGGAAAACTTAGTCCCTCTTGGCAAGGGCCTTCACTTTATTAATAGTATCCCTTGGTTTTTCATGCTGTTTTGTGTTGTGATTTTGTTCTGGGGTGTTTTCCTCCCTTTTGAAATACAAGATGGAAGCAAGCATGCCAGAGAGCATTACAGAGTGGAAAAAAATCTGCAAGGTAGCATTGCTCCGTCATTCAAAAAATCTGCTTTGTCTCCTCTCCTGGACTCCAGGAAGACCATCAGTCAGCAATCTGTATGGCCCTGCTGCAAAAATGCTTTATCATACACTCCAGGGGCTTGTGGCAGGAAGTGGCTGAAAACATGTTGGACTTCTGCACTGTTCAACAGTTTTCTTAGATGGCTCATGGTGCAGTAGTGCTGATTTAAGCCATAAGTAACACAAGGAACACTGGAACACTGGACAGAGTTTTGAGCTACAGTCTGTCCCACAAAGCTGATAAAGGGGGTATGTAAAGATTTTAACTCATGTGTTTTAACTTTAAAAATGATTCCATATATTGTATCACTGATGTTAACAAAATACTGATATTTATGCATGTCAGTATTATCAATATGCTATACACTATTTATTTGACAAATGATACAGTTAATTAGCTCACATAGCATGGATATTCACATGTTCTGGCCCAGAGAAAAGAGTACTACGTAATACCACCAAGAACAGTAACTAACTGAAGGTAAGTGATATGAATAACCTGGTGGCACAATTCTGAGATTGATAGGGGTAATTAGATTATTGTCAAGATTATTGTCAAGATAGAGAAAGCTTCTTTGCTCAAATAAACCTTTGTTTCTCCACTAAATGGAATGCTGATTTCTAGTGTGATTTTTTTAAATTAATAATTATTTTTATTTTTTTGGTTGAATGTGTCTCTCTGCATGATTGTCCATTTCTGTGTTAGAGAGCTAACTCTGAAGATTCTTATAAAAGGAGCAAAGAGATGCTGGTGAAGTGAGTGGATCAGAGGAATAAGGGAAACTAGAATGACAGCTGTTAAGGCAGCATTTTGGAAAGGCTATAAGATGACAGGTGAGACACTAAGGGAATGGAAAAGAGGGTGGTAGAGTGGGCGACTCAAATTTAGCCAAGGCAAAGATTGTACATTATTAGTCCAAAGTAAGACACAGCTTTCTCTTGTGATGTCTTGTGGAAACAAAAACCAGAAGGGTTTTAAGAACCATCTAGGTCTGCTACTAAACAGGAGAGAGACTGAATAAAGGAGATGGGGTGATGGCTGAGGTGATTAAGAGGTGCAGTAGAAAACAATCAGACTATGTCTGATTCTTCCTAACACATCTGGTGTTAAACAGAGTAGGATATAATGGTAAAAAAAACGGAGTTTTGAGAAATTAGTATTTGTGGGGGGTTTTTTGTTGTTGTTGTTTTGTTTGTTTGTTTGAAACACAAGCCAGAAATAAGAAGAAAAGAAGCCTTGGATAAGCACAGCCTAGATTGGCTGCAATGAGTCAGGCAGAAACAAGAAACCTTGTGTTTCTATGACGCTAAGTCAAAGTAATCATTCCCATTACCAGTCATAGGAATGAATGCTTATTGCTAAGCCACAGACTCTTTTGTCATTTATTCAGAAGACTAACAGAGAAGCATTGCATCAAATCTGTTATAATTAATGTGAAAATTTCAAATTTCAAATAACATTGTGGATTTTCTGTATTTCTTTCTTGATAACACTGAGATGCTCAAACCTGCTAGTGTACTGCAGCTCCAGAGTTCAAAGACCTTTTGTGTTTAAAAGACCTTTTTGAGTTTATAATTATGTATTGTTTACAAAAAGTGCAATTCTCTGCTTTGTTTAAAATCTCTAACAGATTTTCTCCAGCTAATTTTGTGTCATAGGTTAAGAAGTTACATCCTTTCTCCCCATCTTTCTGCTACAGGTTGTCAAAACTGCAGCAAAACCAGCAGAAGAAAGTGAGTCCTCCCACACATTTTTATTGAAGGTGAGTTTGATCTCAAGTATACCACTATAGATACATATTTTCCTGTTATGTTAGCCCTACAGTAAAGAGGGTAACCTCTGACAGAGGACAAGATGACAACTGAGTTCATGTATATCATCAGTCTATCAAAATACAGAGGTCACATAATCATAAACCTAATGCATTACAGAAATGTATTTAATCCAGAGATAATTATTGACTTGATTCTGTACACCACGTATTTCATGAACAAACTTTGGACTGTGATTAATTTGTTGACAGTGTCTGGAGAATAAGTAAAAATATGTATTTTAATGATCTGCTTGAAATGTAATACACAGAATAAGTCTCCATTTCAGTCTGCCATTATCTTTTAGTTAAAGAAAACTATACAAGAAAGGAGTACACACCAGTTACCTTGAATATTAGGTTTTAAATATCTTTAAATAATATTAAAGGAGACTGATTCTGAGGTATGCATATGCAAGGATTTGGCTCCAGAGCAGGAGTAAGGATAGATCCCTAATTAATAAATTCAAGGGTTACTGAGTGGCTCCAAAACTGAAACTCTGAACTGCATATTTCAGGTTACCCCACAGGGGTACTACAGTGATTCTGCTCTTAATTATCATCACTATTCGCAGGCCAACAGAATAAAAGTCTGAAGTGACAACACAGTAATTACGAAACACTCAAGGTAAAAAAGAACTTTACCTCTGTAATTTTATCATGATAAGAAAGTGAAAGATCTATCAGCAGAAACAAATGCCAGACATTGTGACTTGCTTTCTTGAAAGCTTTGCTGTAAATGTCAACCATTAAGAACAAAATATACCAAACTTCTACTGCAATAGAGCAAGTGCAGAATATTGAAGTTTCTGATCACTTGCAGAATAATCTTTACACCCTTTATGGAATAGAAAACACTAAAAAGCAAGGCCCATCTCAGCTCATCTTCTTTAGAATTCAAATAGCTCTGTTCTGCTCTTAATAATATTTTCGATTCATATTTTCTGGAAGTATGGGCAAAATGCAACCTGGACTTTTGTGAAGTTATAGCTTGGACTGTAGCTGTTATGAAGTCAGACAAATATGTGTAGAGATGGCAGCAAGCCCAGATAATATATCCACACCATACTGCAGTCTCAGATGTACAGATGTGCATGTCATTTTAATGGAAGGCGTGGACACAAACCAATCTAGTTAAACTGATACACAAGGATATGCTTAGGAATGGATTAAGTAAACTGAAACCACATTTAGGCAAGAACAAAACGAATCTGAATGATTCTCCTCTGTTTCTTTTCTCTACCCACTATTGCCCATGGAAATAATTGCCATCACCAACATCGTTTACCACTGATGCCATGGTACTCCTGTCCTCCATGCTTATTATGATTCTAAAGTTGTTAGTTACCATTGCATATGGTCTTCAGACCATTTCTGGCACTGTGTATCATGTCCAGAGGTTAATCAAGCCCTGGTACCATCCTGAAAGGAGCCTACTCTTTGTCTGATAAAGTGATAATAAATTTGATTTTGAAGGGACAGAACCATTTCCAAAGACAGGAGGTAGAGAAAGATTTTGTGCAAGATCAAAACTTGTAAACTGGAATGAGTAGTAAGAAATGATGGGTGAGATGGGAAGACGTGAAGTGGACTGAAAATATGGTGAAAGAGAAACACCATAGAGGGTGGCTTGTAAAAGCAAATATTCTTATCCACACCACAGTTCCCTCCTTTTGTTAACGAGATACAGAAATATGAGTTGTACACCCTAATTGAATACCTATGCACAAGAATTAGGAAAGCACCTACAATTTCTCATCTGGATAACAACTGTCATTAAAATTTCATCTTAAGTAGCTTATAGCCAGCCTTTGCTTCCTGTCGCATGCTTCCTTAAGTCTTAGTAATGTACTGCATCTCCACATGCTTTTGCTTTTACCTACACTGAGCTTGTGTTCAGGATAATTTCAAGATAAACTGCAAACCCAGACACAACCAGTTCAAGAGTATGATGTGCTTTACAAGGAGGGCCAACAGTGCTCCTGAAGCACTCAGCATGCCAGGACATCCAAAAAGCAAAGGGACCAGTTTTGCGTACTGCAGGCCACTTGTGGAACTTCTAACACTACAGTGTAGTTGGAAAACACATCTGCCAGTAGCCAGTATTAGCCAAGTGAGCCTCTGGCAAGAGGGAGGTAAAGAGGAGAGTATCAGAGCCAAGGGAGTCTGAAACAATTGTTCATGGAAAATCTTCTGGTATCTCTCTTATGAATGACATCACAGTAGCCAACTGACCCACAACTTATCTCAATGTTCTTTATCTGAAAGATGCACATAAATCACACTTTGGACTCCAGTGCAGCATACATTCCTTGCTAGTGTTTCCAGACATCAATTGATTCCATCACCTGCAGTTCTTCCATGCAAACCACTTGGTCCCTGAAATGCTTATTTAATGCACAGGAAGAGAACAAACACTAGCTGAAGATGTAGTCAGCACAAGAATGGCTGAGCACCAAATACATGCCCTGTACAATAGCAGAGTCTCATCAGACAACTGCACAAAAGAGCACTGCTGATCATTCTCCTGGAGGAACCACAGCTCCTTCTCTAATATGTTGACATCCTCACCAGCCAACAGGCATGTGTCTGAGCTCCTGAGAGAGTGAGGGAGGAACTGTAGCCACTAGTCTCTGTCTCGTAGTTCTCCTCATGGTGCTTTGATTGAGCTAATAAGTCCTCTTGAGAGGCAGTTTATATTCAGTCTGGCACAGTGCCATGCTAATGCAGTTATCCAGCTTTCCAAATGGAGCTGGCTGGGAGCTGGCATGTGTCTGGCCAGCACCAAAACAGACTTAGGTACCTATCCATGCAGACATACTCTTAGTTACTTCTGAATGGTCTGGACATCTATGCATA